TAAGAGCGATTATACTTTTTCTCTTACCTATCGAAATTAGCGTTGTTCGATGAAATCGCAATGCTTTGCGCAATGTTCTGAGAGCCGGAGTGTAGCAAATTCTCTGATTTCTCTCTTATAAGGCCAGTGTAAGCCATGCAGTCGCGAGATGTCCGGAATCGCATAGCCGATTGTATGTGTTCCAAAGCCACACATGCACCCCCTGTGGTGTGAATGGCATGATTATTTTTGTTTTCAGCCGTTTATTTACAACGGAGACCCTTGAAAAAGGTGAAAGAGTTTTTCGACTTGGAGTAGGATCGAACTTGAGAGCAATGTTCGATCCAATTGTTCTTGTGCCTTTTACCATTAGGTCACACACACCCTTAACTTTTCTGGGTTTAGCCCCAACCCAAAAATAAAGTAGTTGTTAGTATAAAATTAAATGAAGTAATGTAAGCAAAATTACATATGTTAAACAAAATAAAACAAGAAGTAAAGTATATTGTAAATGAATATAGCCTTTGAAATTGTAATTACCCGTATATAAACTTGTTGCAGGAGTTCCCGATTTTTTTCTCCCTATGTAATTCCTCCTATAGCGCTGATGTGTTCTTTAACTTCCTTACTCCCTTCTCCCCTTCCTCCTCCATTTCTTTCCTGAATTTGGCCATGTTTGATATCTTTCAGCAATTACATTCGTGGCATACAATTCAACAATTCAAAATGAATTTATTTTCAGTGGACTTCTATCTCCAAACATGCGACAACCATTGAGATCTCAGTCCTTCAAGCATCGACCACGTCCATTGATTGAAGTGAAGAAAACCACTATTGAAGATGTTCCAAATGAACGACGTCGCAGCACGCCGACGATCTCACGACGGAGCAGTTTAGTGCACAGGTTAGTTAAGTTTGGATAAGCCCAGTGGACTCCGTTCTGCGCTCGAGTCTCTCGGATTACTGCATTCGGTGCCGGCTTGATGAATGCCGCTTAGACATGGAAACAACACAACAATGCCATAACAATGCCATGTGGCTTTGTTGGAGCTCAAGAGCTTCTTGTCAAAGCCACGGAACTAACATGAAGAAAAAGCTTCTAGGTTAGAAATTGATTTGTAGAGGAAGTCGCGGAGCAGGGCCTTTTTTCGAGGGACTTGCTGATCCTCGTCTGTGAATAGTTCAGCTTGCCTAACTTGAAAAATGCCCACTTCCGAATGATTTACAGATTCTCAGCCTTATCTGTCCAGTACCTGGTAACTGAGTAAGATTTTTATCGAAATATCTCCATGAATGTGCATTTGGCTAAAACTTCTCCCGAGGAAGAGTTCGGAAGCC